CTGACGAGTTCCCCGGACGTCGATCATAGGATCCGCCTTCTATGGACGGACATCAGGAAGTTGACCGAGTCATCACGCACCGCAAGTATGGCAACAAGCCAAGGCAGTACAAAGTCACATTCAAGCAATGTGCGCCTGATGACACTCGGTGGATCTCCAGTACAGATTTGCAGACTTTTGCACCCCTCATATTCGCCGACTATGAGAAGCGACGCCTTGCTAAGGGCGCAGCTCGTCCCGCTCGACCCACCCCGGTATCGGACAGACAACTTCGCCCTCGCAGGTAGCTCGGTCTTTTAAGAGGGGGAGTGTGTTACATCTTCGACGCACACGGGTCCTACTGGACCCGACTTAGGGCCGGAGGGACACATCAGGGCCTAAAGGCCCGACCTTGGGGTAGTACAGGCCCTCAGGGCCTGATCTTGGACCAGTACTCGACGGGCAGGCCCAAACGGCATTATCGTTTGGGCCTGGCGGCGCTCTTGAGGCTGCCGCYCGCCGGTTGGGGCTGAACCGTCCATCTGGACGGTTCAGGGCATGGCCAGGCCTCGCAGCATTGAGGCCGGCCTCTGCCCCACCGGTATAAAGTACCGGTACAGCCTCACTTGGAGGCATCGACCTACCGGCACTATACCGGTACGGTATGGTCAGCGCCAGAGCGCTGTTTTTATGCGCTAAGTTTAGCGCAGGAGCGAGCGAGGAGCAGCAGCGGCAGCGTAGCATTAGCGCAGCAGCAAGCGGAGCAGCAGCAGGGCGACTGAGCCAACACGGCGGCCATTGCCGCCTGAGGTACCTGGGAGCCGGAGGACCTCTCCTCCCTCCCTCGTCAGCTCTCTCTCTCTCTCTCTCTCTCCTCCTCCTCCTCCTTCTTCTTCTCCTCCTTCTTCTCCTCCTTCTTCTTCTTCTTCTTCTTCTTCTTCTTCTTCTTCAGACTAGAGACTTATACTAGTTGGACAAAGATCAGAGTAGGACTTCGGTGATATGAGACTGTGGTACTTACCGGATTGGAGACTTCGAGATCGTTGGGGTTGATACTTGGCGACATCACAGTTCAGACACCGGTTACATTTGGACTCTGTATCTCCGATATTGGTGACCTATGGTCCTCGACATTTTGATCTTGTTGGATGACATTTTGGACTACCATATCGGTGACCTATCAGATTTCTATCCCGGTGACTCTCAGTGCTGTCTACCTGCCCCACCTCCTTCGTCTCTCCTCCCCCATTCATCTGTGTATGTTGTGTACAGGGCTGAGCATCCTCTCTGTATGGCTCAGACCCCACCATCTCACGATTGTATATGTGTGGAGTGATGCTATGTGAGTCAGTCTACGTGAGTCAGTCTATGTGAGTCAGTCCGTTTATCAGACTTCCGCTGCATACATGCTCATCCTATATT